TTCGCAGATATGACTTGGATTAGAATGAGGCTTGGCTTTGGACTCAGACTACGGATTAAGTGTAGCTTCGTTTTGGGCCTACATCTGGCTAAGAATCGTTTTCGGACTAAGCAATCGAGAAACATGCAAACAACTATCAATACAAATCTGTGTGAATCAAACAAAAAAATAAATGAGACCGACCAAATCTTCGGCTAGGCACTGGAGTAGCTTTTTCTGGTACCGTACAACAATATCCATTGATACAATCAACCTCACCATCAGCACCCAAATAGCCAGAATTACACTGCCATGCACTTGTACACTGAAGGTTTAGCACTTGTCCGCCATTTTCGCATTCTTTTTCAGTCATATAACAAGCTGCAATTCGACGAGTTCAAGCCTATCCCAACAACGATTCAAATATGTCAATTCGTTTGTTTTTTTTTTTGAGATATTTCTTTATGAGCTGCACTGATTGTGGATGATTTCAGGTTGCAGTTCACACTTCAACGGACAGCGAAATGAAATAAACACAATGTAAGTGCGATGCTCAAAAATACATTGCGCTAAATCAATTGAAACTAGAAAGGTTATATCAGTTGGCTGAAGTGGACTACTACCACCATCACATTCTCGAATCCTCGTTGTTCAGCGTCGGCTTCAGATTCAGTTTTAAATCCATCAATCAATAAATGTAATCGATCAGTTAATAACGAAATCGTTGCGTGGATAACTTTAAGCGGAACGTACGTTCGACTGAATAATATTGATTCGGATAGGTTCCACAAAAGTAATAGATTTGATCGTTGTTATTGTTGAGCATTGTTGTTTTGGATAAAATCTTGCTATCATTGGTATCGATAAGTGCGCAACGACCCTTGACAATGAAAATCACAACCAATGCACTCAACTGAGTTAGTAATTCGTACATTGTACTGGAATGCTGCAAAAATAATTCAGTTTATTTTACTGATGAAAGAGATAATGAGGATACGACCAAAAAGAGAAACATTATTAAGAAAATAATTTCGGTTATGAACAAACAAAAGAGATTATCAACGATGAATATTACTGACGAATGATGAAATGAAATTGGTGATTAATCATCAGCCTATCTACAATTCATGTAAATACTTAAGCATCGGTCGAGTCAGCAGTTAATCTCATTCGATGCTAATGAATGACATCTTTGACATTTGACGAATCACTCGTGAATGACACTGTTTTGAGTGAGTATTCAATAAATAAATGCCTGAATACCGATCCAGATATGAACAGCCTGATATGTATATCATTGAACACATTGTAGATTAAACACAATGAATGGAATGAATCGATTCAGTTCGAAGCCGTCATCTCAATGACTGTTTATTTGATCAGCTTGGATATATAAACTCATCAAAATAATTCAAATGAACTAAAAAACATTCACAGTATTTCATTGCTT